GTTTCAAACAATAGCAGAATCAGTTGGAATATCCTCGGCCGCATGTCAATGGATACTGACAAAAGGATCTTAACATGCATTGGGTGTGTCAACATATCGTTCCCGCATGTTAAACGAAGACCAATCTGCGATGACCATCTGCAGATGAAACATTGCAGGCTGAATTAATGGACATAGCCAAAAATGGATTCCATAAATGTTTCGATGACCTTTATCAGCCATGGAAAACGTCAGTTGTTGCCCATGGGTCTTATTTCGAAGGAGGATGTATTTCAGGAGTTTTATTGGTAATATTTTTGTTATTGATTCAGTCCGGAACTTTTGAATCCTACTACGTATTACATGTTACTTCTCCAATAAAACCATTTCTTGTCCTGCATGGTGTTGCATTTCGGGTAATCAGTAATGGAGTTTGAGTAAATAAAAATGATCTAAATTCATCTAGTCGAGTTTGGCAACAACCGGATTCTGCACTATTTTTTTTTCTTCTCTAACAAAAACTACCATTAACTAGTACCTGCACCCAATCTGACCTCAGTACTTCAAACCTAACCACAGCAGTCACTGCAAAATACACGTGCAATAACAGTAATGATGTGTTATAAATCCCCAATGAGTCATACTAATTATTAGTTAGGGACAATGACTGCACAGTTTGCGGTATTTGAAGTTCAGTTTCCGTTACTATTTTTCTTGGGCTGCATGAACTATGCACTGTATTTTTTCATTGAAATAACATACCGCAAATGGATCGCCCATGCTCTCTTTCTACGGTTTTGTATCCGGCACGAGGCTTTGATTATTTCTGTACTAAATAGTAACACGGTACTAAAAAGTTGTAAGGATTAAAATTTATAACTCTATGTTCAAAGCAAAAGACTGATAATAGGCACAAAAAACACCCAGTAATTATTTTTTTAAGGTATCCGACTACTTGCGACATCTTTTTTTTTGGAAAAAATGGTGATATGGGAATTTTTTGTGATTTTTAGATTTATATAGTATATTTTAATGAAAACAGAAAAAAATGTATTAGTAATAAAATAGGAGAAAACTGGGGAAGATGTGCAAAAAATTACATAAACGGCCCCGCTCTGTACAAAAATTTTATGAACAAACTCTCAATTTTTCAATTTTGATGTGTTACTTTGTTATTCACGTTTGAAATGACCTTCAGGATAAGAGATATTTTAATTTTTACAAAAACTAGAGCACTTTATCTTAGTGATTATATGAAATTGCTTAAAAAAAACAGTGATTATATATTCACATAAGGGACTGTAAATTTTGAAATAAAGCAGTGATTGTTAAATCTGAAAATCAAAACACTTCTACTGTTATGCAAAACATACACAAAAAAGTTCAGCAAATTATTTTCAAAATTTCTTCAGCAAACGCTGTCCCTGTTTGAAGTTTACGAAAAAGAAACACATTTCGAGTAAAACGCATTTTAAAGTTTGCCACCTTATGTAAAGTTATGACATCTGCTTTTATACTAAAACACTTGTAGTTTTTGTTCTAGTGAATGGAAAATAAAAAACTTGGTATTCTTACTAAGCTAATAAGATGGCCTATAAAATTAAATCATAAAAAAATTTGTTAATTTTTGAAAAAAAATCATGATTTTAGGGTATTCGGATACCTTAAGGCTGTCTTCGGTTAATGTTAAAGAATAGGATGAATTGGAATTTTTCGAGATAAAAAAAAATGAAAAATTATTATATTATGGTTCACTATCCCTTAGGGGCAACATATTTTTATATATTATTATTCTTTCTTTTTTCCAAAAAACTGAGCCTTTTTTTTCCGGTATAAAATGTGTTTCGCGTTTTTTCTCCTATATCGTAATGTTAAAAGAGCTGTCCTTTCATGTGTTAAAATAAAAAAAATAATATTCAAGGAATATTTTGAAATTTCAGAAACCCTGTATTGTTAACCGATGTTTAAGTTACAACATTGCAAATTTTCATGAAAATTGAAGCATTTTTCTGTCTGAAAATGTGCTCCGTACTTTTTTGCCGAAAACAACCTTAAGAAATAAAAATAAAGTGCAATGTTGAATTTTTATTTTCTAACCTTGTAAAGAAAGGTACAGATTCAACCATAAAGGAATAATATAGTGAAAGATACAATTGTTTATTTTTTAGTGAAAAATCAAAATGAAATAGTGTTTCTGTAGGACTTTTTTTTTTTTTGAAAAAATGTTCTTAATTGTTGGAATTTTATTCTTCCTTAGTGCGTGTTTATGAAAGCCGCACGATAAGACAACACGAGAGCTGTTGGCGAAAAGGACCTCGTAATTTTAAACTTCGATTAGTGGCTCGCAACTTCCGAAACCCCCCACGAGGTGGACAAAAAGGGGGCCCCAAAAGTGACTGGCTACAATTACGTATTTAACCAAACTATAAAACATTAAAGGCAAAAAAAAGTAACGTGCTTCAGCACCTCTATACGTATCACTAGGGCTCGAGCTCATGACACTACTGCCTCAAGTTAGTAACCACAATCACAGGGCTACACGGTCACATTTTGTTCCTTAACCAGCCGTGGTAACCACGATTATGGCAACAATGTTTATGTCGAACTACGAATTTGAGCCCCAATTCCATCAATAACTCTTGGTTTGGGTTAAAATGGGGGCTTTTCTACTTTAAACAGAATCAGTACATTTGCAATCCTCGTCATTCGACAATGGCTCAAAGTGACGAGGTGCGTCGCCAATAGTCCTCGTGTAGCTGTAGAGTGATGTTAATTCAAGCCAAGACCCATTTGTGGTTTGGTTTGAATTAACATTACTCTACAGCTACACGACGACTACTGGCGATGAACCTCGTCACTTTGAGCCAAATAAAGCCACAGATCGTTTTGAATTAGCGTGTCTTAGCTATGTAAAGGCTTGTGTCGACACACATCGTAATTTTGAGTCGAATAAATCAACGGATTGATATGAATTATGAGTAAAGTTAAGCAAGTTCTGTTATCCACCAATCTCATTTAAGTTGCGGTCAAATGACGAGGATGACAACGGTACTGATGCTTTACTCTGGCTTCTACATCACTTGAGGAGCGGGGTTAGTATCCACGTTTGAAAATTGATTGATTGATTATTAACGTTGCACTGTTCAGCTACACGAGGGCTTTTGGCGACGGACCACGTAATTTTGAACCATGGTCAAGTGACGTGGATGACAGAGTGGCACCCTCCTAACTACCACACCACGCCAACGGGAGGACGTTTCAGCCCCGACAGATTTAACGTACATCGCTGCCCCACGGCGGCCCTTGGGATTGGGCCCCGAACTCGTGACAAGGCAAGCCCCGGTCCGATACCTATACCACTCGGCTACCGCGGTCACTCCAAGTTTGAGAAGTAGTTATGGTTAAGAACTCGTGTCCGGCGTGTCAGGAGTTCGAGCTCTAGTGTCACGGAAGACCCGCTGTGTAGAGGAACTGGTGCACATTAAATATGTCGTGGCTCAAAATCCTAACGTTAGTGTTATCTGATAGTTTGGAGAGGGGGTGCCAGCTCAGGTGTCGTCTTCGTCCTATTACCTAGGTTCAAAATCACGAGCGGTCCACAGGCCATATCCTCCATGTTGCTTTACTGTGCAAGGTTAATAAACATTCACTCCCTTACTCACTCTACAGAACGTGAGGTTTTCGACTATTAATTCTATTTAACATAGAACATCTCATTACTCTACAAAATGATTCTTGTTGAAAGTTTGTTTTTTTAATGGGCTTCATTTTGTCAGTTAATGGGCTTCACTTTAAAATTGCATAGAATAACCATTTTTACGAATACTCTGACGATACTTAGAAGAGTGGATTTCAAAGAATATTCCTGCTAAGATATATGGCAGCACAGGTTCTATGATGAGTATTTTAGTAAGAAAGGCGAATAGTTTTATAGCAGAAATTGCGTTTTCAGCGGATTGCGAAGAAAGTCATTTTTTTTCCGAAAAAATAGTTAATATCAAAAGGTAAGTGTCTTATATTTTTTGTATGTTAATGATGACTTTAGAAAATAATTTGACTACTTATTTTAAGTGAACAGTGTGTATAATTAATTTTACAGTTGAATATTTTTAATGAATTAATTAGCTCTAACTAATTAAATTTCCCAAAGTTGAGTATTTTGCTTATGTACACCCCTTAATTTTCAATGTAGTGATTCAATATATATATATATTGCATGAAAAAAAAGCTGCAGTAAATCATAATGCGGTAGATAAAGGGTTAAGCCGTAGCAGACACGGCAAGTCCCCAAATGTGAGAGCTATTTCAGTGCTGGCACCACCTAGGTGTTGCTCTCGCTACGAAATTTGGACGCTTGAATTAATTTAAGCTCTGATGCTAAATATTGCCGTGATTTAATTTTATTAAGAATACAGAGCCAAATTGGTACTCAAGGAATCTTTTACCTGCCACATAATCATATGACATGCAAGCCTACGATTTTCACACTCAGAAAATCTGTCTACTCCATTCAGGATCAATCCTACAACTTTAGGCTTACGAGACCGGCACGCTACCACCAAGCCACCAATTACCTTTCCAGCCACGAATTTTAAATGTAAGGATTTTACTGGAATGATGTATCAAATGAAATAAAAAAAAAGAATTCAAATGAATATAACCATAGGATTAAAAACTGAGACATGCATATTTATCTCAAAAACAAAGGAATACAAAAAACAAGTAATATAAAAAAAATTAAGTTAATTCTAACTTAGATCAACAAAGATACATTTTATTTTAGTTACTTTTATTTTATTAAATAGTTACGATTGATATAAATATGTATATACACAGGACAGAATCACATATTATGTGACAAAATAGAAACAGATTTTTCTTGCCATTTTCCATTTTCCTTTCTATATAGGGCGTTGGTCTAATTTTTTTTGTATGTTTGTTACTATTTATTCATTCGTCAAATTAAATTATTCTAATAGAATAGTAGAGTAAAAAAGAAATCACATTCTCAGAAATTAGGCCATCCCAGGTGAGATTCGAACCCACGGCTTTTGGATGAGAACTCCAACACGCTATCTCTTGCGCTACAGGGACACAACGAACGATTTTTCTTTCTATATATGCCGTTGGACTATTATTTTTGTTTGTTACTATTTATTCATTTTTTAATTTAATTAATTAATATTTGAAAACAACTGTATTAACGTCAAGTGCCATCCACTACAAGTTTAAAAAATGGATTTCAACTTGAATGGTTGAATAGAACGTATTTTTATGAATGATTGAAAATTTGAACAAGATATATATAGATATATATATATATATATATATATATATATATATATATATAATATATATATATATATAATATATATATTTTATATATATATATATATATATATATATATATATATATAGGGAGAGAGAGTGAACTAATCGTAGGAACTGAAAAAAAGAGGAAATTATAGTTATGTTAATAAAATTTCTGTTTTCAACTTACAATTTTCCTTTCACAATATACCTAGACTTAAGTGATTCATAGATTTTTAGAATCTTCGGAAACTTCATGACGCCGAGCCGCAAAAATTAGTAATCATGAGCGTTTCAAACAACGAGTTCAGATAAACCAACTTTCTGCGTTTATCATGCAGTCGAAAATAGTTTTCTGTGTAACGCTCAATCGAGGTACGTAGTTCTAAAACATTTGTTTTCGGTTACAGTTAATCAGTGTTTCAAGAAAAATCATACACAAAAATTAAATTTCCAAGAATTTCAGAGAGACACTTTGTGAAAGAGTAACTGTAATTTTATTAAGAATGCTTTTGAAATGTTATTAGTTGAGGGGAAAAAACGTGAATCATTGAATCAAAAACTGACGTCGTGAAAGATACGAGCAAGGAAAAATTTGGAGGAATTGATCGATTTCGTCGAAAATTATCTTAGACTCTGGAGATGTATCTAGAAAAGATTGATTTTTTTTACACGCTTTTATTATCTTCATCTGTATGTAACGGAATCTTTGAACTCGATTTTTACCCACTTTAAAAGGTCAAATGAATTCGAAAATTTTCACACTTGTCAAGGACCGATGACAATACAATAATGTAATAATTTTTTCCAATATCCTAATCAGGATCATCAGATTAACGATTTCTCATTTCCAGTTTAGAGACTAAGGAATTACGTTACAACCCTAAAGCGAAAACGCTCATGGTTAATATAAATAAAACAAACAAAAAATAAAGGATAGTCTAAAACATTTTTAAAAAAAAGCGATTGCCGTTAAACAAAAAAATGAAAAAAAAATTTAAAAACAAAAACACGCTTTTAGTTAATCGAACTAAAAAGTAAAATAATAAATATTCTTAATAATATAAGAATAAAATAACTATTGAGAAAATTAATGTCATTGTGAAAAAGCGTGGGGTTGTTCGATATCAATTGTTCTAATTCCTTACTAGTTCTATTCCGAAATGCAGATTTAGAGTAAAATTGTTTTACTAAGTACCCCACGCTCTTACCATAATGACATTAATTTTCTCGTTAATCATTTTATTCTTATATTAAGATTTTTTTTTTTTTTTTTCGTTCAATTATAATTATTAAAAGTGCACTTTTTAGTTTTTTTATACTATAATTTTTTTTAAAAAAAAAAATTTTGATTAACAATTAATGGAATCATAACAATAGTTCTATAAATTTACCATCGGTGTATTTTGTGTTGACAGGAATATAAAACACAGGAAGCATCCATTTATAAAAATAACATATCAACAATGTCTTGTTTCCGTATTTCTAGTTTTCAAAACATTGAAACCTATCACAGGATGTAATCAGTTTCCACCTATACCTACTAATTTAATGTGAATTGAAATAATGAAGCATTTTATTTTGTATTTTCACGTATGTATTTAAGGCTATTATATACTTTTACTTAAACCATATTTCACACGGGTAAATTGAAAAATATAACAATCGAGAGGGAAAGAAAAAAAAAGTTAATGAATTCAAAATTTAATACTTTGAATAATTTTAGCTATATCACACAAATTGAACTGTAAGGGAAAAAAATTTAACAAATAAAACAGCAAGGTAAAATAAATAGATAAGAAGGAATAACTCAAAATTTCTTAGGTTTATCTCACTCGGGATATAATATTATCAAAGACAAAAATTTGAATATTATTTTTTTACGTCCCTGTAACAGACAATTTCAGCGAAACAAGTTTTAAGTGGATCTATACTCAATAAAAGAAACATGACTGCTAAATTTCATAAAGGTAGTTCTAATAATTCCGGAGATCTCGTTATGAAAGTGAAGCTTTTCTCCTAAATATATGTTTATATATATCGAGAGAGAGAGGATATATTTTGGGATTATAAGTGAGAAAACTTGGGATTGATTGAATATTAACGCTGCACTGTTCAGCTATTCGAGGGCTTTTGGCGACGGAAAAGGTGATTTTGAACTAGATCAATGACGTGGACGAAAACCTGAGCTGGCACCCTCCCTCTCCTAACTACCACACCCCCAGGGTTTTAGCTCCGGGCAGATTTAACGGCATTGCTGCCCCTACACTGCGGGTCTATAGTGGTTTTGGGGTTGAACTCGTGAAAGGCAAAAGGAAGATCCGATACCTATACCACTCCAAGCGGCCACGAGAAAACCGGGGGAAAAGAAGGTGAATGAGAGGTCACTACGGAGGAAACTTCAAAGGAAAGCAATGGTCTTGCCGGATATGATGCCGATGAAGATATATTTTATATGCTCTACGCTCCTATAACACCTTCCCCCTTCGGAGCCGATTTCCGAAAAACCCGTTCTTAGTGAATCTACTTAGCATGAGAAACATGCCTGCCAAATTTTAAGTCTGTCTGATATTTCAAAAACGGAAATTTTTTATCTATATGCCGTCCACCCCTTTCAATCTTTGGGAGTCGATTTCCGCAAAATCTGTTCTTAATGGGGATTTCTACACACACACACACAATACCCCGACAAATTTCCCCAAATCTGTAGCCCCCAGGAAAAATTAAAGTAAAATGATTTGCCTTTCTCCCGCTTGAATAAAAATGTGTATAGACATAATTTTTAACTTCTAAATTTCCTAAATATTTAAAATTAAATTGATTGAAAATCAAAAATATTTGCATATTGTTTTTATATATCAGTCTAATAAAATAAATACTTCAGAGATTTTAACTAAAACTTAGAAATGAAATAAAATACAGTAATTTTTTTTACTTTTTAAAAATTTACATATTTTTCAAATAATTTTTCAGATTTATTTTTTAAAACATGTTTTTGTGTATTCACTTTTAAACTTGTATATAAAACTTATGCATAATTTTAATAATTGCCAATTCTTTTCTTACTTGTATTCAAATCTAACCTCTATAAAATAAAGATTTGTTTTTTTGCAGGAGAAAAGTGATTCACTCATTGACTAATCAGATGTCCGGAACTGTTAAACCTACAGACTTGAAATGTAAAAGGCATGTTTCTTTTGTTGAGTAGAGTTCCACTCAGAACAGATTTTGCGAAAATCAACTACCAAATTCCTGTGTTTGAGCTTATTACACCCACAGACTTCAAATTTGCCTGCCGTGTTTATTTCGTTGAGAAAAGATCTGTTAAGAACAATTTTGCGATTACTCCCACACTGCAGCGTAAAAGATAATATTTAGGTATATGCTTTAGACAGTTTAAATTAACAGATGAACCTGGGAATTACTGGATTTTACTTCGCTAATGAATTTGTCAAATAGTTCTTTCCTTTAGAGTTGCGATTTATTTAAAAAGTTATTCTAAACATCAATTTTTCTATTTAACTCTTCTATCTCGAAAATGTTATATTTTTCAATTCAACCGTGCGAAGAACGGTATACCAGTAAGTAAAGTTATATTTACCACCTAAAGCTAATTTATACGCGAATCCCAGCATCTTTTTCAATTTCTACAATTAGTTCACTCTCTCCCTATATATATATATATAGGCTAATTCTCTACAAACAAGAGATATAACATCCAAACAATAACATTCGAAAAACACATAGACAGTAGGAAAATCACACAATGAAGGACATATGATTAATCGAGATTAAAAATTATAAAATGGATATGCTGCAGTGTTATAAACATTATTGACTTAAGACAGCTATTATATAAAATAATTTATATAAATGTGGGGTTGAACATGTTTTTTGGCCAGCCAACCTTCCCCTTTTTTTGTAAATAACACTGAGCAAAAACCAATAGGAAATAATGGATAGGAATATCTAAATCCATTATAAGATAGAGGTAACTTACCTAAAAATTGCACTAACAAATGCAAAGCCCGCGCTAAATCTGAGTGCATTAAATAAGTTATTGCCAGATTCTATACCCTAATACAGATTTAAATCAAGTGAAGGGCTGAAATGTAGCACTTAACAAAAGTATAAAAAGAATGGAAATAAAAATTAATAAGAGTTGCATATATAGCATGCCTTTAATAACACTAGCGTAAATATGAATAAAGTAATTTTATCTAATATTAGATTATATGGAGATAACTATAACTATGAAATATTTAGTTTATAGTAATAAACTATTATCAATCTCAGAATTTTAATTCTAACTATTTTGAATAGCTTTATTCATATAACTATAATAAAATTAATTGGTATTTTGATTTAGCAAAAATTTAGTAAAATGTTTATAGTTATTTATAATGTCTGATTTTTTTTACACCAGAAATTTATTACGTTCTATACAATTCTAACAATATTTCTGAATATATAGAAACATATACATTACTCTCCCAATGAGGAACTTTTATAATATTGAAATTAAATTCTTCTCTTTTATCATAAATATTAGAAACTATTACATTATCATATAATTTGGGCAAGTATGAAGAAAAAATTTTCTTCATTGTAGTTATTATTTGTCTGTATTAAATTAAGATATTGTGGATAAAAAATTTAAAGTTAGTTATAAAATTGGCTTGTTTGCCAAAATGATTATATCATCTATATAACGATAAATATAATATTTAGAATTATTAATGGAACTACTTTCAAAATAATGTAAGTATAAATTGGCAAGACAG